CTTGTTGGCTGTGTTCTATCCAGCCTTTTCAGTTGTTAGGGGAGAACTGGGAGGAAGGCAGCTACTCCATCTTGGCAGAACCCCATTCTGTTTTAAACTGTGGCCACGGTATCTGTAACAATTTATTGCACACTTATTTTCTCTGATGCAAATGATTTGAAGGTTAAAAAAAATGTTTTTTAGAAGTCTTTGTAATTCTAGCATTAGCATATTACCTAGCGATCAGTAGTTATTTCTGAAATGCATGACTGAGTAAATGGATTTAACTGAGTACCTTCTGATAGATGCTTAAAATGTACTTTCAATGAGAAAGAACTTTTTAGTCTCTAAAGAGAAAATCAAGACTTGAACAAAGGAACTAGACACTAGATAAATTACATTCTATATATGTAATTTGAAAAAGTATACTTTTAGAAAGAACTTAACACACAAAAATCAAGCATACTTCTAACAATGCTAACAATGTACATGTTGAAAATGAAATTCAAAAGGCACTATGATTTATAAACACACCAAAGAAAATGAAATAATTCTGTATAAATTCCACAAAATGTGTACAGAATTGTATGCTGAAAAATACAAAATGCTGATGAAGAAATCAAAAAAAGAAATCCTAAGTAAGTGGAGAGGCCTACTGCATTCACAGATTAGGAGTTTCAACATAGTAAAGACAATAATTTTCCTCAAATTGAGCTATACAGATTTAATGCAATGCTTACCAATATTCCAGTATAGTTTCTTGTACACATAGATAAGCTTATGCTAAAATTTATATGGAGAGGAACAGGCCCTACAACAGCTAAAAGGATCTTGAAAAAGAAGGATAAAGTGGGAGGACTCACTGTACTTGATATTTAGTCCTACTATAGAGCTATAGCTACACTAACCATGACAGAGTGGTACTGGCCAAGGGACAGACACATAGATCAAAGGTACAGAATACTGAATCCAGAAATAAACCCAAGCAAACATGCCCAACAGATCTTGAATAAACATGCAAAAGCAATTCTGTGGAGGAAGCTAAACTTTTTAAACAAGTGGCACTGGAGCAACTGAACATCTATCGAAAAAGCTAAACCTTGACCAAAATAAACCTTATACCTTATATAAATATTAATTCAAAGTGGATCAGAGACAAATATAAAATGTAAAGCAATAAAACTTTTGGCAAAAAATCAATAATTTTAAAAACAAGAGAAAATTTTCAGGATCTAGGACTAGGCAAAGAGTTCTTATATTTCTGTACCAAAAACACAATCCGTAAATTGAAAAAAAATAATGAATTGAACCTCATCAAAATTAAAAACTTTTGCTCTTCAAAAAAGTCTGTTAAGAGGATGAAAAGACAAACTACAGATTGGCAGAAAATATTTGCAAACCACATATCCAAGAAAGGATTAGTGCCTAGAACATACAAAGAATCCTCAAAACTCAACAGTAAGAACACAAATAATCCAGTTACAAAATGGGCAAAAGACATAAAGAGACATTTCACTGACAAGTATAAAGATGGCCAATCAGCACACGAAAATCCATCATTAGCCATTAGGGAAATGCAAATTAAAACCATGAGATATCATGATACACTGATGGGTACAATGAAAAATAGTGACAATACTAAATGCTGCAAGCATGTGGAGAAACTGGGTCACTCACATATTGCTGGTGGGAATGTAAAATGGTACAGATACTTTGGAAAGTAGGTGGGCAGTTTCTTATATGATTAAACATGCAACTGTCATACAAGTCAAATTCACTCTAGGGCATTTATCCCAGAGAAATGAAAACTTATGTTCACTAAAAATGTACATGAATGTTCATAGAATATTTATTTTCAATAGCACAAAATGGAAACAATCCAGATGTCCTTCAATAAGGGAATGAACACTGTGGCAACGTCCATACCATGTAACACTACTTAACAATAAACAAGAATGAAAAACCCGATTCCAACATTTTTTTTGGTCTTTTTTGTCTTTTTTTTTTTGGCCGCACCGCACAGCATGTGAAACTTCCCTAACCAGACATCAAACCCATACCCCCTGCAGTGGAAGCACAGTCTTAACTGCTGGACCACCAGGGTAGTCCCTCCAACATTCCTGAATTGCAAAAAATAGATATGGAGAACAGATTAGTGGTTGCTGGGGGTTTGGGATTGGGGTGGGGAGGTGGATATGGACAACAGAAGGGATCCTTGAGGTGATGGCATTGTTCTGTATCTTGAATGTATCATTGTCAGTATGCTGATTATGATTTTGTACTATAGTTTTATAAAATGTTACCAGTGAGAGAAACTGTCTAAAGGATTCATGGGATCTCTCTATATTATTTCTTGCACATTAATATGAATCTACAAAATAAACTTTTAGCCAAAAAATAGTGTGCCAAACAACTTGGTATGTTACAATTTAGGGGACATTAAATTACTTACACAAGCACCAGCTAGCTATGCATATGAAACTGCTAATAGGGCATAACTCGGAAGAGGAGGATTAAAAAACTGGGAGTCAAGAGGAAAGGAAAATTTCATTTTTTTAAAAGTAAACTTATTCTTTTAACTGGCAATAAAGGAAAAGAAAGTAGTTACACAGCTCTCCTTCATTCACTTTTTCATGTAAAAATAAAATAAACATTCAAGAAGGAGAAAATTGAGTAAAAAGCCAGGTACCATGGAACAAAGAATTATGTGGTATTATTCTATCCAAAATAGCTACTTATAGATGGGAGTAGGAAAGCTCTTGTTCATTACACTGAGAGTAATCTTAGCCGTTTCCGTTATTTACACCATTGACTTGTACATATTTAGGTGTAAACACTGTACATGAAAACGCTTGTTAAAACTTTTCATTGATAACCCAAAACACTTATCAGAAAGACTAGAACCTTTGAGTAGCAGCTAACATTTTCAAACTTCTAAAACTCTTCGTAAGTGGATTATTTAAAAACGAATGGTGACAGTTTTGTGGTCTGATAGCTAACAACATGCCAAAATGTCAGTGACTCAACTAACAGCCCTGGGCTCCCTTCACGTCATCAGCACCAAGGCATGCTATTTAAACTGCTGTTTATAATGATTTTGAGTACCGCTTTCCAAATTGGAACAGGAAGCCAGATCAACACTAGCTTCAAATCAATTGGAACACTCGAATTCCAATGACAGAAGCATCTTTTCCTGCAGTTTATCGCTTTCTCTAGAATACTACTTGACACATATAAAACTTTAAGGTGTTTGTCTTTTAGTTTCACCTTCCATTAAAATATAGACACACGAACATATGGCAAATGTCACTATTCTTGAAATTTTGTGACCTTCATTCATTACTGCAACCATAAATTCAGAGACATTTTAACGCAATTTCTCAGAGCATTGGATCACTGTGTATATTTAAACACATCAAAGAATTGCAACTTCAGTGCTTCAGAAATTCAGATTACTAACATAAACACAACCTTATTTTCCCATCAACAATAAATAATGAAATTAAGTGTTAGACTATGGACATTCAGCTCAATTCTAATCTCAGATAAATGAGGACATACATTTGCCTATCTTGAAGAATCACCTCCTACACATGCATCAACAATCAGAAATAATGTTTTTAAAAGAAATGCAGCAGATATGAAATTAAATCTAATAACTATTTGTCAAGTAAGAATAGCCAGTTCAAACGGTACTCTCTAACTATATTAGTATGGCAATTATTTATCAATGCACCTACAAAAACTTTACTTCTATTAAGAGTTATGTTTAAACATAAAAGGGATGGGTTCCCTTTTTTAAGGGAAAGAACAAGAGTTGGCAAAGGAATAGTGCATCTGTTCTTTTATAATTCATTCCACATCTTTCCCAAGCAGAACTTTATTTGCATTCATTTGTATTTTCCAAAATGAGCTCTGATTTATATGTTGTCAGCGTTAAAAAGATAAAGTTATGTTTAACTTTCATCTGGCTCTGACCTATTTTAACATCCTAACACACTTGTAGCCATAACCCTCCATAAATGTTATTCTTATAGGTTGATGATGAGCAGGAGACACAAACCTTATAATAGAGGAGTAATAGCTGCTAATGAGAATTTCAGAAGTGGAAGTCGAATTCTGATTTGAAAAAGACACTAGGTGATTCTGAGACTTTCTCCAAATTGAGAATCAACTGCTTTAGATTTGGCTTTATATATAAGTCGAAATAGGGACACAAAGAAATAGATTTAAACACACCCTCTATATGCCTATACCCTGCTTTGCCAATGTTCTTATAGTCTAATGACATCCATAGTCATTCACAGTCCATGAAGGGCTAAATGCTTAAACTGAGACTTTTAACTGCTAATGTGATACATGGATGTTGTCTTAACGCATTATCATTAAGCAAAGTACATATATCTCTTCCAAAAGCAGACGAAGATATGTAGATGTGTGACAGGCTTTGTTATTAACTTTTGCATTGGCCCTGAGGGACCCAAAATATTTTTGTATTGACTCAGCATTTTTAGTCAATAAAGTGATCTGGAACATAGCCTTCGCATTCCCTAACATGGCAAGGCTGCTTTCCTCTTCCTGTGCACATGCACGTTACCTAAATCATCTTTGCAGATGTGTTTGAACCAGAGGTATCTGTGCTCTATCTGTCTGTGAAGGGCAATAACAAAATGTTACAACCCATTTAGCAATAAACTATGCATCCTTTCTGCAAGTCTTTGCTTACATTTTATTTGCAACATTTCACCTCCTCTATAAATTTTATTTCATAGTCTTTAGTAATTTCTGGCAACATAAGTAGATACCCAGATGGTATCTCTTTTCTCCATAAGCCAGAGATAATGTCCCAATATAAATTCCAATGCCATCTTTTTATGATTTAGATTCTAAATTTTAGAAAGCAGCAACACACACAAATATTGAGACCATACCTTGAGGTGAAAGAGATAGCAGCAAAACTTAGGTATAAGAAAGCAACATGTGATATAATTGATTCAACAGTAACAAAATTAAGAGGATACCTGATGACACAGGCGTAAAGACCACTGTCCTGCAGCAATGTTGGCCGGAACCAAATGGAGTCCTCTTCCTTGCTCATTCTACTTCCATCAAAGGCTATTGGCTCTTCAAAGTCTCCGGGGCCAGAGCTTTTGTACCACATCAAACTGAGGCCAGCACTTTGGGCTAGGGAGTAATTGGCTCTGATATAACCATAAAAGAGTGCACATTTGATTCGAACAGGCTCTCCCACCAAAACTTGGTATTTCTTGATATCGACAGACCAATCTGTGCATCCATCAGCTGTAGTTTAAAAAGACAGAGAAAGAGAGAAAGAAAAAACATTAGAGGAAAATGGAAGCAATTAGTTCATTCATTCATTTATTCATTCAACAATATTTATTGAGCATCTATACTGGACAAGATTCTTCTCTAGGCACAGACTATGCAGCAATGGATAAAACTCAGAAGGGCACTGAAAAGTAATTTATCCTACTAACAAACAATATATTCAACACTTAGTTTGCTTCTGCTGATATTTATTCTTAGTTTAAATCAGTGTGATGGTTATTGGCTTACGGCCTTCTCATTCTAAATCCACATGTTTGCCTGTTCTTTGAAAATGGATCTGGACCTGAGAAATAGTTTTCCTTTGCTAGCTGGCACTGACGCTTTGTTAGTAAAGTGTTCTGAAGAGAGATTTCAAAGGAAAGGGTTTGCTCCCTGGTTCCAGCATGCTTGCTTGGAAGGCTCCTGCAGTGTGCAAGGCTTTTCCAGAACGTGGCTCCTGCAGTGGGTGCTTCTCCAGGACCCTGGTCCTGCAGTACACGGTAGCAGCTTGGTAATTTTTTAGGAGATCCTCAGGTGAGACACCTTCTCATGAACAGCTTTCCCAGATAGGTACCTTAGAAGGCAAGTCCCTGTCCAATTGCAGAGGGCAGACTTCCAACCAGTTCTACCAGTGTGCCACCTCAGTGACTTCTGCCATTCAGTAAGCCATGAATTTTCCCAGTAAGGTTTGGCTCTCACTCTGGGAATGGGAAGATGGGAGCTTTTCTTTGGGTGCTCTCAGCTAGGGGTAATGGCGGCCATCCCTCTATTCTTTACAGCTATCTTTTGTTACAGACGGAACGTTTGTGTCCTCCTAAAATTCATATGCTGAAGGCTTAATCCTGAATGTAATGCTATTTGGAGGAGGGGCCTTTGGGAGATAATTAGGTTTATATGAGGTCATGAGGGCAGAACACTTATGAAGAGAGTAGTGCTCTTATAAGAAGAGACACCAGAGCTTGCAACCTTTCTCTTTCTCCTTCTGATTACTTATAAAGAAGATGCCATGTGAGCACACAGCTAGAAGGTGGCCGTCTATAAGCAGGAAAGAGGGCCCTCACCAGAAACCAAATCAGCCAGCACCTTGATCTTGAATTTCTCAGCCTCCAGAACTGTAAATTTCTGTTGTATAAGCCACCCAGTCTCTGGTATTTTGTTATGGCAGCCTGAGCAGACTAATACATCATTCCTTCTTACTAGCCAATCCTTCATTACTCCAATAACCTATTACATTGAAAACAATCTTTATATAAGCTTTCCTTGTTCAACTTAGTGTATTTTTTTCTCTCTGACTGGATCCACACAGATAAAATGAGGAATAAGCGCTGTACAGCCAAACAAGACAGAAAGAAATACAACAAAAGTGGGTCATGCTCTAGTAGTGATTCACAGCCAGAGACGCAGGTAGATGGTTACTTTGCTGATTTCTGGGAGCATCAGGGGAAGTGTAAAGTAGAAACCATGGTGGGAAATGGAGCTGATGGGATGGGAACTAATTGTATTTTCTGAGTTTCTTGGAAGTACCATCTTCCAAATGGCATCTTGGCACCATTTTTATCACCTCTCCCCCCTACATACACACACACACACACACACACACACACACACATACACACACACACACACACACAGAACAACAGGTCACCACAGGGCAGGTACATCACCATTATTATTATCATGGAGAAGTTGTGGATCTCCTGCCTAGAGAGGGCACTTGCTCAACCCCTAGCAACAAAATCAATCTGACATAGCTCACAGTATACAAATGCTGAGCAAAAGGGCAAAAACCAAGAAAAGAGGACCTCTAACAGCAGTAGCATCTGAGTACTGCAAGCAGGGTTTAACTCACTAGAGATTAAAAAGAGGGCAACCTGAAGGGTCTGAGAACAGGAAAATTCATGTAGAATTCAAAAGAAGGAAAATGATCAAAATGAAAAGGAAGATGTATATTAGAGCAAAGAACACACATAATTATGGAATTATCCAAATTTCTTATCTTAAAATATTATCTAACATCTGATGAGCACTTAATTATGTGCTGAGTTTACAAATTTTCATTCCCCCTTCACAAAAACACCCATTCAGGCTTTGGACTCATTGTTCCCTCTACATGGAACTTTTGTCACCAATCAACTGCATGGCTTCCTCCCTCCCTTCCTCCATATGTCACCTCCTCCAAGAATCCTTTTCTAAATTCCCTGCCTGCAATACCACCTTCCTATCCTAGTCACTTGACCCAGATTGTTCTTTAATATTTTTTCACAGGACTCATTGCTATCTGACGTTACATCATGTACCCAATTTTTGCTTGCTTTCTGTCTCCCCAACAGAACACAAGCCCCTTGAGGTCAGGAACTTGGTCCTTCTAATTCACTTCTTTAACCTCAGTGCCTAGAACTGTGCCCGCTAACCAGCTCAACACACACTGACTGACTGAATGAATGAATGAATGCATTCTTGAATAAATAAACAAAATAATGCCAAGATTTACTATTGAAGAAACTCAACACCAGCTCATATGTGGAAGTTCTGGTATTCTCATCCAGCTACGTATGACCCTACAATTCATTCTCTCTACCACCATGGTATTCTGTTTCCTAATAAAGGTAATTTAAATTTCACACCATTCTTTAATTTAGTTTACTTTTACTATCAAATGTTGGTCTAAGATTCCTAATGAAGAGCCGTATCAAGGTACTGTCTAGAGTAACTGTGCTGGAAGCTTGGTGGACATCAACAACATCCAAGTCATTACCATCACTCCTGCCAATGACTGCCACAGAGCTGGCTCACCACACTAAATAGGATGACAGAACCGTACACAAACAGAGATGTCAAGGTTACATAATTACATGCAGTATTTATCAACACAATTTTGTACATTTGTCCCATTGCATGAAATGAATCCTAGGTGGGATTTTATTTTCAACAGCTATAGTTCTGGCAATAAGCATGAAATTATCTTGTTTTACCACGATATGAATTATAATACAATTCTAGAATTACGTTATTGTAACTGAGGCCATCTGTCTCAGAGGATATCACTGCCAGTGCAAAAGGCTGGTACACCTTCAAGGTAGCAGTATAAACAGTAAGATGAAATTATTCAAATTCTCAAAAGAATTGTAAGGTACAGTAAAATGCTTGAAGCTAAAAGCAAAAATACTTAGCCTAGAAATTTCTAAAAAGTTAGTAACAAATTAGATCAAGAGAACAGAAGGAGAGCTGTGTTTTGGGGGATAGATAGAGATATTAATACATACTTTCAAAATATGCTTACTGAGAATAGTGTTGAAAGAAAACCATAAATATTACTGAAATTTAGAGTTATTTAGTATCTATTGGAAAAAAAAGTTTCAAACAGCTCTGATTCACACGCCAAGGAAAAGGCAGAGGTGAAATTAAGAAATACCAGCACCTTACATATCAGAGACACTTTACGTTAATTTTAATATGGAAATAAAATGTAGGATCTGTGGCTTAGGAAGTATTACTACCATTAGACTAAATGTATGATGTTCAAAAGTAAACTATAAATTTATTAACATGTTAATACCTTTTTGGGGAAAGATGGCAAATAATATAAAGAACAATTCAAGATATCTTCAAATTATTTTGATAAACGCATTTAAATAAATGAACATATATTTTTTCAATAATTAAAGCATTTTATTAAATAAGAGAGGAGTGCTGTTTTTTTTCCTTTGTTAACATTTCACCGCATTTGCATACATTCTCACTCTGCGTGTATCACAATTTTTTCCTAAATGATCTGAAAATAAATTAAAATAGAGACATAATGACATTTCACTCCTAAAATACTTCAGTATGCACCTCCTTTGAATAAAGACATTTTTCTTATATAGCTGCAAAGCATGTTTTTCTTAATCTTGTCCAGCGGGACATCTCAAATCTTAAAAGAAAATGTGATAACTTAAAACCTAACTCTTGATGACAAGAATTGCCAATTATATGTTCAGTTTTTCCTTACTTCAGTATATAAGCTCTGTTGGCTTGGAAATAGTCATTCCAAGCCAACATATTTCCATATTTCTATACACTGTTAATTCCATTATCTAAGTTACCAGGTAACCTTTATTATTTTTAAATTATCATTGGGTAATTCTGAAGGACAATAGTATTTAATCGGGTTTTCTGTCTTTCAGAATAAAATATCCTTCTGTAAGCCTCTCTCAGAAAAGTTAGCTATCGGTATTCTCTT